TCTGAGGGGGGGGGGGTGCAAATCGAAAGTCTGAGGGGGGGGGGGGGGGGGTGCAAATCGAAAGTCTGATCTGAGGGGGGGGGGGTGCAAATAGAAAGTTTGTCCCCAATCGCCGGGAAGGGTCGCTACGCCTCTGAGGGGCCCACTAACACTTTTTGCATAGGGGCCCAAAAATCCTACTACGCCACTGGCTGGAGATCTACTTGAAAGTAATAGAAATATGTTGGTCTACTAGGTTTATTTGAAGTCTACTAGACGTCTACTATAAGTCTACTCTTCTACAGTAGTTCTACTTTATCTATCAGAAATCTACTGTGAGTCTGCATAATGTTTAATGGAGTTCTCTGCTTTCCATCACGCCTTTAAGTCCAGGTATAACACCCTCACTTTACCTGAACCAGAACTCGACCCCCACTTCATTGAACACTCTCTATACACCACTAATGCACCTTACAATCAGACTGTAATTTTTTTTTTTAAAGTGACACATTACCTAAGTACTCTAAGTGGCGCGACCTTTCAGAAACCAGACAAGTCACCATTCAAAGACTGAGTTCATAGTATACAAGCCACGCATAAATCAAACACACGCCGATTTCTATACCCACATTAGTTCCAATTTAATCCACATTCTTTCCCAGACCTAACTGCTAAACGTGCCAAATGAATAATCTACAGCACTGCATTTATCAAACACGGAAACAAGTCTCAAATACTCGGGAGTTCCCATGGTTCATATAGACATGTATCACTGGCAGCTTGAGTGGGAAATAGTTTGCATGTTAATTGTCTCCCTTGCTCGCAAGGCTTATCTCCCTTGCATTAAAATTGTAATTAACTTAAAATTTGGTTTTAATGAAAAACTGAGTCATGGTGACTCGTTTAAATTGGTAAAATTGTTTTATTCAACATTGTTTATTCTTTATGTATACCAAGTTGAAACGAGTATAATTTCATTTGGTAAAACAGCCTCAACAGTTACATCAAACTGATTACATTCATTTTATTCACGTGTGTTTTTAAAACTCCCCATAAAATATTTGTATCGATTGCCCGTATTGATATAATAGTATTCTTTCATTATAGAAATAAAACATGTGTAAAAAATCTTTTTAAAAAGTTTTTAAATACACTAAAAGTAAACAAATAATTATTTTCTTAGATATAATAGTAAAAGAGTTTATCGCTCAAGCTATCTCTTTACATTTAAGTTAGTATTGAAAATGGGTGCAAACAGCAAACGTTTTGGACACAACTTATTACTTAACCCTGGCCATTACTATTGTCTTAACCCTGACCTTTGATAACAAATTATATTTAATGATAACCTTAGACTTGAGCCGAACCCTAACCCTTGCAGCATTAACACTAGAAAACATCTGATTGATACAGTTTGGCATTCAAAAAACTGAAGCAACCTCCCCAGTCTATTGCAAGCCTGCTTTCTATCACTTTAACACAAAACATGAAAAATAAAACTAAACCTTTAAGTTTAAGAACTAAAAACAAAACAAAAACTGAAAAAATATCTAATTCTTACCGAATTCTAGCACGTTGTTTGCTAAATCTTACCCGAATTCAAGCACGTTGTCCTCTAAGTCTTACCAAATTCCAGAGTACTGAGCACAAGAAAAATGAACCTCTGCGTCTTACTAAAGTCTAACACTTTGTCTTCAAAATCTTACCGAATTCTAGTACATTGTCTTCGAAATCTTACCGAATATAGCACTTTGTCTTCGAAATCTTACCGAATATAGCACTTTGTCTTCGAAATCTTACCGAATTCTAGTACATTGTCTTGTAAATCTTACCGAATTCTAGTACATTGTCTTCGAAATCTTACCGAATTCTAGTACATTGTCTTCTAAATCTTACCGAATTCTAGTACATTGTCTTCTAAATCTTACCGAATTCTAGCGCGCTGTCTTCTAAATCTCACCAATTATAGCAATTTGTCTTCTAAGTCTTAACGAATTCTAGCACGTTTTCTTTTAAATCTTACCAAATTCTGACACGTCTTCTAAGTCTGACCGAAGTCTAGCACCGAGTACAAGAACAACGGACCAAGTCACGTGGTGCCGTCTGACAGAAAACAAGACAGAGATCATGTTCAGCTGACAGCAGAGAAAAGAAATGTCACGCTCGACTGAAGCGATCAAACATAAACACCACAGGACGTCAATGCCTCAGACGCGCGAGGTGCCGGTATTTCACACTATGTCGAGGATACAAGCGACCAATTACTCCACAGACCCCCACCCCTGTCCCATACACTGAAAGCCATAGCCTTCTTATTTGTCCAAGGAATAAAATTAACACGCAAGAAAATAATCGTGCATTAATTTACGGTACTAACGAATAAGCAGTTTAGGTTTTTGGGTTATGTTAGGGTTAAGAAATAGAATAAAAAGCGTAGCTAATTTAATTGTATCTACTAAATCAGCTTGCTAGAAAGGTAATGTTCCATTGAACCGATAAAGCTTGGCATCTATTGAGGACCATCGTCATCTTTTCCCGTATATGCCCATGGCACATGAGGCAGATCTTGAAGAAATCTGTTTTAATAACATTGGCATACAAGGGGATGATGTGGTCGGCAGTATACCAAGCCAAATAATGTGAGTAAGGTACCCATCAGAGCTGAGTGGACTCAGGGGCGTCCTACAGACTCCTACCAGGGATCCGAATTCGAGACTTTAGGGTTATCAGTCGTAAGTATATAGCATTTACAATGTGAAATATATTGAGCATATAACAGCCAAATCATGACTTAAATATAGGAACAATACTTAAATCTCAGAATATATATTAGAATTACAGTCAAATTGTGTCATATATTCAGGATATAATAGTTACATCTTGACATACATCAAGGATATGGAAGTCAAATTTTAGCATATATTAAGGATATATCAGTCAAATCTTGTTACATTTTCTGTAAATAAAATTCAAATCTTGGCAAATATTGAAGATTTGGCAGTCAAGGATTGGCAAATATTCAATATAAAATAGGTGGACACAACATTAGACTGAAAGCATAAAACAATGGCACTATTTAAGTGTACATCGAATAACAAGACTAAAGCATTATGCCTAAAACGTAAACATAGATGTTTCAATGCGAAGTCCTCGTCAGCACAAATCAAGAATAACTAAATTACACCGTTATATTCGTGGCTTATTCCCTTACTACATTTGAAACTGCTCGTCTCTTGTCAAGGAAGAGTTGTATCATTTAAACCTAACACAACAATTATATTTTGTGTTTATTTGATCTTTCCACTATCAAAGATTTTTAAAATCGGAACTTAAGTATTCTATCTATAGGACAAATATAGTAAACATATGGGCCTATCAGTTTTTAAAAAAAACCTAACCATATGGGAAAAAATTATAGATTGCTTGAGGGGACGGCGTGGTCTAGTCGGTGAAGCTCAAGGTTGCTAAACCGAAAAGTCTCAATTTCGAACCATCGGGCTAATCATAATGTATAAAAATGTGAGGCAACAAAGCACATTTCACTATATTGTTCGTTGTTTCGTCTTTGTTTTTGGTGTGTTTTTCGTTGTTTTTTTTTTATATTGTTTTTTGAATTTATTGTTTCCTTGTGTGAGAATATAGTTATGTTGTTCCATTGTCTAATAGACACCTCCGACCCCCCCCCCCCCCCCTATCTTATAAAATAATGTTACCATTTTATAACAGTAATCTAAATCACATTATCTCGCATATTTCTTTCGGTGGTGATGCACCGTTTATGCCCTATAGACGAAAACAAAATAACGAAAAATATAGCAGTATAAAAAATCAATTTACCTTACAAACACAAAGCAGATTTTCCTGGTAGCTAAGTAGAAAATACTATTTCACGGCCAGTTATTTACATCATCTACTCACTACAACATAAAGTACTAGCATTAAAAACGAATTCGTCAAACCTTAAGAATTATATTTCAATTCCTTTAATTGCAAACCTTTTAAGCCGTCTGCGGCCAGTTGCTTAAAGCATTTTTTTAAAAAGAAATAAAATACCTCACCTACAATAATACACTCCAACTGGTGTTTTTATGTGGCGATAATGAGCACTTAAGCACACTTTGAAATTCTCTGCTTCATTGATTTACCAAGAGTATTGATAAATACACCGAGGGCAGTCAAGCGTGAAAGAAATCTAAGACAGTTTTCATGACCATTCGCTGGGGTAGAATTGATACGTCGTGTTATATTTCTGATTAAATGTTTTTTTTTAATGCATAGTATAGATTTTTCTGAAACGTTTGAGGGGTTCTAAATCTATCACTTAAGTACTCAGATTATTTGCTTGTTTAATTTACTACCTCAATTCACCCGTCTCTGTCTTGTTGTATTTTATTTTTTAAATATTTAATCTTTTCTCAAAATGCTATGGTTAATAACCAAAAAAAAAATGTTATCACCTTTTGGCTGGTTACATCATTTATTTAAAACAAGTACTTTGAAGTATTTTAATGAACTTCAAACGAATTGAAAATGTGGGATAGGGAGTGCTTGAAAGATCACTAGTAAAATCGTGTTGTATTTCATTGTCTGAACAGTTGTATGGTTTTCCGTTTGATTAAATATTAATTAAGAGTGTGTCGTTATGTAGGCTTATGTGATCCAAAAATACATTACCCATAGAGGAAAGTCATATAATTTTAGAGACGTTTTTTATTGGTTTTTATTTACTAGAAAATTCTCTTTACTTTTAAATGCAGGCGCTTATTTATAGGGAGTTTGTTTTTGTAATTATACATAAGGAATGTGAACCCTTCCGCTGTAAAATGGAAGTTTTTTTTTTTGTTTTTTTTCGGTCCTAGATGTACTCTTGACTACTTTAGTAAGGGTAAAATCCATTTGGTAGACCTTTTGGTAATTATTTTACAAATGTTATGTTAACACTCTTGTAGACCTTTTGTTAATATATTATCTTTTTTTTTTGCTGTTAATATTAATATCAAAGAATGAGTAAAGCATTTTAAAGTGTGAAACATCTTTATTGGATCATTTTTGCAGGGATCTTCATCCAGAAGTTTAGTCTTGTCCAATTCTACAATTGGGTTTCCGATCAGTCTTATCAACAGGAGAGGCATAAGCAAAAAAGCATTTAGAAAATTAAAGCATCACATTCATACTTATAGAATATTATACAAACTGCGTACATTTTACAATTTCAAAGCTTTGACATTAAGAACAGGTTGTCCTAATGGTAACAATGTTTTAGCTTTTAAATAAAGAATTGAAATCATTTAAATGTTCAACTTCAAAAATTTTAAATAATGTATTTTTAGACATTTTACTTTTTAATATTAAAAAAACAGACCTAAACAAGCAAAACAACAAGCAATTTTAAAGCATCTACAATCTAATGCATGTACATTTTTGTTCCCTATTCCATTCAATACAGTTCAACTAAAACATTGTATCAAATAAAAAATAAATAAGATGAATCACCCAAACCCAAAATTATTTCCTTTACTCTCAACTCAAACTTTTTTATTCGCCTCACATTTGTGGCGCATAAATCGCATGCGCAGCCGAAAGAAAAGTAATCCCTAGAGTCCGGTAGCTGGTACATACGTAATCGATTTCATCCATTCTTCATGGCGATACGCAAGAAGACACCAGTCGAGGATTCGATTCTAGTGATTTTTTTCTACCTCCCCGACGGCGGATCGATAAATTCGAGTTGGAGCTGTAGGTTATTGGACAAGGTTGATTAAGCAGCCTGGAGAAAAGAGTACAATGGAAGACAGGGCTCAAGCATTGTTCGTTCAGGGTACACTACTCGCGTAGCAACGAGTTACAACTGCCTAATTACTTCCAGTGTTTCCTGTGTAGTGTGATTGATCGTTTCCCTTGTTGGACTGTTGCCGATAAATCTATCGGTCAATCAAGTCGGCAGGAATATCCGAAAGCAGAAATAAAATACTTGCCATATAATAAATTTAAATTCTAGAATTTTTTATTACTTTACTTTTGCATATGTTGAAATTTTCTGTTGCTGATTTTCAAAGAATGAGGAAATAGTTATTTTTTTTAAAAATCAATAATAAAATTCATGTACATCACTCATGCTAGCTGGCTGGTTGCTGGACTAAGGAAACTACCACGTTACTTTTGGTGCTTGTTTCTCTTCCTCCGAGTCGTAGTCCTCTTCATCGCGGGGGGATCTTGCTCTCGTCTGCTCGGAGTTCGACGTCCACTGCGTCCACTCCGCCCAACCGCCTTCTGTCCCTACTCTTGCCTGTCCTTGGGGTCTGTTGGTCTTCGGCCTGCGGGTTCTAGTTGCGTCGTTCTCGTTTTGGGGTTTCCTGGTCCTTGTGCTGTCGACATTGGAGGTCCAAGAGGTCCACTCTGACCAAGATGATGGGGGATTACCTGACCGGTCATCAGTGCATTGTCTACTTTCAGGTGCAGTGTTTCCGCATTGTACGGCGTTTCCGGTGCATACCCACTGCCGTGTTTGTCTTCCGTTCTGACAAGGAGACCACGGTCCCCATGCTCCGGTGCTGCATGTCCTGGTATCACGGTTAGGTCCTGGGCAGATTGTGGATCCCTGGCAGACCCGGGTTCTCTCCTGGTTACCGTTGATGCAGAATGACCACTCGGCCCAGTTTCCCCATGTGCTCTGAGGCGTGTTAGCTCCCCATCCAGACCACTGCTGTGGATTATCTACAACGCAGTTTCTGGTATCTCTAGCCTGCCCTAAGCACTGACCAGTTTCCTGGCACACTCTTGTTCTCTCCTGGTTTCCGTTGACACAGCTTGACCATTCGGCCCAGTTACTCCAACTGGTCACTTGATTTCGGCTGTCAACGTCGACACAGTTCTGGGATTCTTGGGGTTGTCCGGAGCACGTATTTGACCCCTGGCATGTTCTTGTCCTGCTTTGTCTGCTGTTAACGCAGGTTGACCACGCTGACCAGGTGCTCCAGGTGCCCTCACAATTCCTGGATTCTTGAGCTAACCCTGAGCAGAATGTCGAGCCTTGGCAAGAGCGACTTCTTCCTTGTCTACCGTTGTTACAGCTGGTCCAGTCTGACCACGCTGACCAAACGCCTTCACATGTTTTGGTGTCTCTAGCTTGACCAGTGCAAGTGTTGGTTCCCTGGCATGTCCTCGTCCTCTCCTGGTTGCCGCTTATGCAGTTTGTCCACTCGCTCCAAGTTGCCCAGACTCCCTCACAAGTTTTGGTATCTTGACCTTGACCTGAGCAGTACGTTGACCCTTGACAGTTTCTGGTTCTGCTCTGTCTGTTGGTGGCACACGTTGACCACTCCGTCCAGCTTCCCCAAACGCCCTCACAGTTTTTCGTTTCTGTTGGCTGTCCTGCGCAAGTTGGTGAATTCTGGCACGTTCTTCTCCTGTCTTGGCGGCCGTTGACGCAGTTCGTCCATTCAGTCCACGCGGTCCAAACACCTTCACATGTTTTTGTTTCTCTGGCTTGACCGTTACAGGTGTTTGTTCCCTGGCAGGTTCTTGATCGTTCCTGGTTGCCGTTATTGCAGTTTGTCCACTCGCTCCAATTGTTCCAAACGCCTTCACAAGTTTTGGATTCTTGGGGTTGCCCTGTACAGTATGGGGATCCTTGACAGTTTCTTGACCTGATTTGTTTGTTGGTGTTACAACTTGTCCACTCTGACCATTGTGTCCAGACACCCTCGCACGTTTTGGTATCTCTAGCTTGACCAGTGCAGGTGTTGGTTCCCTGGCATGTTCGACTCCTCTCCTGGTTACCGTTATTGCAGTTTGTCCACTCGCTCCATGTTGCCCAGACTCCCTCACAAGTTTTGGTATCTTGACCTTGTCCAGAGCAGTACGTTGACCCTTGGCAGTTTCTGGTTCTGCTTTGCCTGTTCGTATTACACGCTGACCACTCCGTCCACTGTGCCCAAACACCTTCACATGTTTTGGTGTCCCTGGCTTGTCCAGTACAGGTGTTGGTTCCCTGGCATGTCCTGGTCCTCTCCTGGTTGCCGTTATTGCAGTTTGTCCATTCAGACCAAGTTGCCCAGATTCCCTCGCATGTTTTAGAGTCTTGACCTTGACCTGAGCAGAAGGTTGAACCTTGACAGTTTCTGGTTCTGCTCTGTCTGTTGCTGCTACAGACTGTCCATTCTGTCCAAGCTGACCAAACACCTTCACATGTTTTTGTTTCTCTGGCTTGGCCGTTACAGGTATTTGTTCCCTGGCAGGTTCTTGATCTTTCCTGATTGCCGTTATTGCAGTTTGTCCACTCGCTCCAATTGTTCCAAACGCCTTCACAAGTTTTGGATTCTTGAGGTTGCCCTGTACAGTATGGAGATCCTTGACAGTTTCTTGACCTGATTTGTTTGTTGGTGTTACAACTTGTCCACTCCGACCACTGTGTCCAAACACCTTCACAAGTTTTAGTGTCTCTTGACTGACCCGAGCAAGTACTTGAACCTACACAAGCTCTTGTCCTTTCCTGATTGCCGTTATTACAGTTTGTCCACTCGGTCCATGTCCCCCAAACTCCCTCGCATGTTCTGGAATCTTGATTTTGTCCAGAACAGTACGTTGAACCCTGGCAGTTTCTCGTCCTGCCTTGTCTACCGTTATTGCAGTTTGTCCACTCAGACCAGACTGACCACACGCCTTCGCATGTTTTAGTTTCTCTTGCTTGACCTGAACAGGTATTTGAACCTACACACGACCTCGTTCTTTCTTGGTTGCCATTGTTACAGTTCGTCCATTCGTTCCAGCTTCCCCAGACGCCTTCACAGCTACGACTTTCTCGTTCATTACCGATACAGTTGCCACCTCCCTGACATTGTCTGGTCCTCTCTTGTCTTCCATTGCTGCAAGTTGACCAGTCGCCCCAGTTGCTCCACTCACTCACGATCACTCTATCGCATGGCCTAGTTTCTGTGGTTAAACCCTCGCATCTTCCAGTTCCTTGACAAACTCTGGTCCTTCTTGAACTTCCGCTATCACAGCTTGACCATTCAGTCCAGCTTCCCCATTGTCCTACAGTTGGGGTCTCTCCCCATCCAGACCACGGCTGTGGGTTAACAATCACAGGGCATGTTTTAGTTTCAAGATTCAACCCCTCGCATCTGCCAGTTCCCTGGCAGGTCCTTGTCCTCCTCATGTTCCCGTTCTCGCAGTTTGACCACTCGCCCCAGTTTGTCCAGGTCGACAAGGCTCTGTCAGGGAAACACTGCCTGGTCTCCGTCGCCACACCTGGACAATCATTACGGCTACTTGAACAGGTACGGACTCTCCTTTGCGTGCTGAGCAGCGTGAAGGAGTTCTCACAATCTGACCACTCGCCCCAGTTCGACCAGACGGAGACCTCCACAGCACAGGACTTGGTCTCGCTGGAGACCCCAACACAAGCGTTGCTGGTACCTCCGCTGCTGCTCAAACAACTTCTCGTCCTAGCCTGGATACCGTTACTGCAAGGCGCCCAACCGGCCCAGTTGGACCACGCACCTCTCACCTCTGGGGTCACGGGTTCACTGCAGGCTCGAGCTTCAGAGTTGACCCCGCTGCACTGAGCTGAGAGACAGTTTCTGTTTCGTCTGGCGTAGCCGCTGATGCAGCTGGTCCACTCGCTCCACGCTGACCAGGTCTGTTGTGAAGGTGCGGGTGGCTGGGCTACCGGCCCCCACGCCCTTGTGTCGTCTTCAAATTTTACTTGCCCCCAGCCTTTGTCTGCGCTGTAAGATAAAGTAAGCAATAATGAACAGTGTCGGTATAGATGAAAGGTAGTGCAGACGACTAATTATCCAAGACTATAGAGCTCGGCTTCAGAGTCTACCCAGCTTTTTAAAGTACCCGACATTGGAAAAGTGGAGGCTGCTGAGCAGACACTTAATTCGTATGCTAAAGTCAAAGAAACATATCAACTCTACTTCAGATTCTCCATTAGTTTTATGTGTATTAATTACTGTTATTTATTACAAAAAATTATAAAAGACTTCCTAATGCAATAATCAGAGGGGTTTAGATAAATGATTAAATTATAATTAATCCGTGTCTGAAACTATGAGAAAATATAACTTTACGAATAAAACAGAAACACAAAATAGCCCACAAATAAACAAATTTAGCTACTCTGAATCACAAACAAATATAAACTGTAGCGTAACGTTTTGAAACACAGATGGAGAAGGGAAACAACTCAGATATTTCATGACCTCAGGCGGATTGTACTAAAACATTATGTGGTCAGAACCAAGTCTAGTAACTCTAGCCATCCCACACATTTCCCACCCAGCTCTGTCAACCATTTCGGTGAACGCAAATAGCCACAAAACAAGTTAAAAATAGATAATTTTTAAATCTTAAGGCATCAAGAGATAACGTAACGACCATGCAGCCGGTGGATTTTGTTCGTTGTATTTCAGTGTGTTAAAAGATCAAGTATTAACAAATACAGTTCATCAAATAAAGAAAAATCTGTCAACTTACACTGTAGGGTCTACGAAAGGGCCATCTCTGTCTCCATTGGGTGCAGGGGATACTGGGGAATACAATGATAAAATATGTACAAACTGACATTGTTATAGCTTTATAGAGATAGCAAAACGTTCAGACAAGGGTGAAATTATTGTTATAAGAAATATATTTTTAAAAATCGAATTTATTGAGTTATACATTTCATAGCCAGAAATTCCTTTATATTCAGTTAGAAATACATTTAAGTACTAGCTTTCCATTAAAGGGAAATAACTGTGAAATTTACAATACACCATAGGTTGATTTCTTTGGGGTAAAAATAATTATTTTGTTACATGTATATATTTATTTTCATTAATAATTTGTACTATTGCGAATTTCGGGTAGAAAACCTACTTTTTTAAATAAAAGAAAGACACATCCTTATTATTTTGACAAGCACTAAAAACGTTAAAATTCAAAAACATACCTTGTCCGTTGTCTGGAAACTTCTTATGAAGAGTCTCCATATACTGTCTGTCTATGTTCAGATTTCTGATAAAGGCGCCGCCTCTGTCGTCTGCAAGAACCCCGACCCCGGAGGCAGCATACAATACACAAGAAAAGATGCAGCACCCCAGTAATAGGGTGCTTCTTGGCAGTTTTTTATTCGCCATATTCATCAGTTTATTTGAATATGGCTTGAGTATTCAGTTTAATCCTCTAACGTTAAAAGATTACTTTTTTCAAATTCGAGAAAAGATTTTACACAGTTTTCTAAATTTATTTTATAAACTGCCTTGTTTCACACTTTTCTGTGTATATTCGAAACTAAGACCGAAAGCTTGAAGTTAGCTCCTTTTATACAACACCAAGGCGTGTTTAGCGATCCGGAAATGCATTAAAAAAACGATTCGAAAAATACACTTCCTCATGTGTGATTCGCATAGTTAATTATTGCAAACATGCGCATCATTATAAAGTCCACATTTTAGTCAAATAACCCCGGGTTAGGATGGGTCAGGTGTTTATACCTTGCCTTAATCGCACTGCATGTCCAATTTTATATGACACTTCAATACTTTAACCCAGAAACACCCGACTCAACAAACTGCGTGTGTTAACCGCAAACCCTCCACACACCCTCCCCCCACACACCCTCCCCTCTCACCTTTTCGGACACACAAAAATGTGAGTACATTTCTCGCCAAGCGAAATGCAACACATTTTTGTAAACACAGTTGTAATGCCTGGCTTGCATATTCCACAGTGCAGAGCCCACAAAAAGTGTACAAATACTATTTGGTTATTTACCTGCTCAAAAAATAAAAAAAATAAACCATCTTTGTAATTTCTGCAATAGTTTCCTTGTATGTTCTTATTTATCTATCACGTTGTAGATCTATATTTTAGCAGTTAGATAAGTCATTAAAATGTACAAAAAAAAAGTTTAAGTAAAATGTATAATAGTGATATGTACTTATATGGTATAATACACACTGTGAGTAGAAATGTGCGGGATTTGTTAAAGATTTTGTAATGAAAAAAAAAAGCTGACATTTGCTCAACATTAGGGGGACGGGCGTCCATGGCTCTGCTATGTGTCTCATCAGCCTGAGCCAACAAACTACGCCAAGTCTCGTCTCGCGCCAGCTATGTCACCTTTGACCTCAGATGGGGGCACGAGGAGGGACCCGCCATGACGGTGTTTGTATTGTAAAGTCGTCGACCTGTCCCAACCCCCCCCCCCCCTTCCCGTCACAGTACCCAGACATTTAGTCTGATAGATAGACCCCAATCCCCCCCCCCCCAACCCCCATCAAACACACACACGTACCCGCAATATAAAAGTTATATCGTACCCGTATGTTAAATAAAATTGTGTCACGTCCATTTGTTGAATGAAATTGTCTCACACAATGAGATGTCATATCCATTGTATGTGTACATACGCAATCTTCATTTATGTGTTGTTGTTTTCTGTTATGTGTATACTTTTTTTTCAAAATCAGTATTGAAATGTGTGAAATGCCGAAGCCTGCTTTATTTTATATTGATGTAGATTAATCAAAATCGCATGTCTTAAGTAGTTGTTTAGTAAAGTTCCCAATACGAAACTGAAGGTCATTGGGGTAAGTGAAGTAGAGTTCACCTGTTTCTGTGACCTCCGCGTATGAAAGGATAATGTGGTCAGCATTATGCTCAGCCGCCTTTACTTTTTTCCCTAACGTGAGTTAGGTACCCATTAGAGCTGAATGGACTGAGAAACGCTCTATGGTCTTTAAACCCAGAATCAAACTCAAGACTGTCTGGTTAGCATTCGTGTGCTCCACCATTCGACCACCCGATCCCATCAATTAGTTGTTTGTCGGAAATTTAAAAAAAAATACCTAAATAATTGATATTTCAAATTTTGATAGCCGTATTTTTTTTTTTTTTTTTTTTTTTTTTTTTTTTTTGCAAATACTGTTTCTATTCCTGCGATACATCCGTAAAGTTGACTTCTAATAGAATTCACCCGGCATGGCTGTGGGGGTGTTGACTTCACACTTTGGTGCGTGTGGTAACATGCCTTAAAAAGCCAACATCCGCATGTACTAAAGCTTTAACGACATGCATGCAAACTAAAATGATAGGTTGAACAAAACCGAGGTGAGGTTTTTTTTTTCCAAAGTAAATGTAAATATTGAAACCCAGTTTTTAATGTATGTGCCATTAACACTTCGGTGCTAACCATGTAAGCGCTGTTCGCCCACGCTAGATTGGGTTGTCAGCCATTTTGTTTTAATTACAGCGAATTTGAACAGGTTGATTGGTTGAGTAGCTTGACTAACGCGGAAATAAGGACGGAGAATTGCGCTACACAAATACCCGAAAATAACGTACACTGTTACAACTGTACCTAAAATGGTTTAGTGGGTTAAAAAAACGTTTGCGTAGTTTAAGTACGCACTTACGCAATGTTCCCTTTCAGACCTGATGGCCTCATCGGGCAGGTGATGTAGAGTTCACCTGTTTCTGTGGCATCGGTATATGATATATGAAGTGATAGTGTGGTCAGCACAATGCGAGGTCGCTTTTACTTTGCCTAACGTAAATCAGCTAGCCTTCAGTTAGGTGGACTCAAGGACGTTCTACGACCAGCCAAGAACCTGAACTCATAGTATGGGCTGAGCTTGATTAACTCTTATAATTACCTTTGTCGCCTTTTTAATTTATTTATTTTTAAACAGCTGATTAAAAAGTCAGTAAAACCGAGAAAAAAAAAACTGGATTTGAAATCTACCAGCTTCAGTAATTCAAGCGAACTAGAACTCTAAAAGAAATGGAGATTAACGGCTACTAATTAGAAGAAAATACAATCATTTATAAACTCATGCCTAAGAAAGATCCTTAGAATACGCTGGCCCATCACCATCAGAGATGAGGCAATATGGCAACGGACAAATCAACTGCCAGCTGAAGAAGAGATCCTCCAGAGAAAATGGAAATGGATTGACCCCAAACTCAGTTTCTTTTTGGCATCTCTTCATAGGGCTCCGCCCCCCCCCCCCTAAGAGAGTCTACCGATCCCCCCCCCCATCCTCCGAACGAAATGGATTTTATAGAGAAAATATATACTTTTAACATGTCTCCGCCCCCCCCCCCCCCCCACCCCGAAAATTTCAAATGCCCCTCCGGAGAAAAATGTCTGGAAGAAACACTGCACACACTCAGGAAGCCTGTATCCAGCATAACAAGACAGCCCCACCCCCCCTCACCTGAAATTCACAAGGCAAAATGAAAAGAGGCCGACCAAGAAAGACCTGGAGACGTGACCTGGAAGAAGACACCAAGAAGATTGGATACACCTGGGGACAGTTGGAGAGACTAGCCCAGGACAGAGATGCCTGGAAAGCTCTTGTCACTAGGAGGGTTGACTGGCTTATGTAACCCAACCTAAACAAATTTTCATCAAGGGTATGCCTTTTTATTTAAATTTCAATTACTATTTTGCAAATAATGAACCTCTATTACTTATTACTTATCCTTAACATCTTAGCGCGGTCTTGAATCAATATAAACAGTTTCTAAACAAAACCAAAAAATTCAAAAGTGCAGCGACCCCGACGAGATTCGAACTCGCAATCTTCTGATCCGAAGTCAGACGCCTTATCCGTTAGGCCACGAGGCCGTTATATATTGGTCCACCCAGCTCTAATTCAGGGGGGTGCAAATAAAAAATTGAATATTTGTCACCGGGAAGGGTCGCTACGGCCTCTGGGGGTGACACCATAAAATGCTGCACCGAGTAACACCCGACCTCGCTACGCCACTGAGTTGACCCCTGATGTTAATAAAGGGCAGATAACTGTCGTTTGCATGCCTCTGGTAGGGTTTTAATTTAAAGCAAATATTTTTAGTCACGTCATGTGGGGTGTCGATTTAATTAAAAACGTACGGAAAGGACAATATCTGTATGCACTGTTTTATAAAATGAATATCGAGTTTTTATGTTTTTAAATTCTTAGATTTCAAAAGATTTCTTAGATTTTATCTATTTAGTCATAATAGTGGCCCATACGCCGCCTGCGATTTTCCTACGAAATAAAATATTTTTTATATCGGTTTTATATTTTAGTGCAAAATAGTAACGACCCCGACGAGACTCGAACTCGCAATCTTCTGATTCGAAGTCAGACGCCTTATCCATTAGGCCACGAGGCCGGTGCTTAGACATAGCCAAAACATACAAATCGATGTATTTAATCTAAACTTATAATGAAAACTTGTAAAGAATAAACTTTGTTTAAGTATAATAGAATGCAGGTTTTGTTTTAAACCTTTTAGTGACATGACATTATATTAAGAGAGTCGTATTTAGCCGTTCAAATAGGATACAAATCGATGTTAGCACTATTTAGTAGTTCGAAAAACCAGCAGGTCGCTCAGAAGCCAAAAGTTTCCGACCTCTGATATAAATCATGTTAACGTAGATATAGCTTAAATCATGGACCTGGCGTAAATATGGCTTGAATCGTGAACCTTACGGGCCAAGACGGAATGTCTGCACTATGTAGGCCTACCTTATATCGATTTTATGCGAACCCAAGACAAAACATTAAGGTGACGCCTAGATGTTTCAGTCCCCTAAAATACGCTTTTAAAATACGCTTTCTCCCGAAAGAGAAGTTAAGTAACTTTCAAAAATGATTAAATTAAGCTTTGTTGTATTAATTTTTTTTTAAACTAAATTTGAATTCAAGAAAATCATTGTAAAATGTTTTGTTTGATGTTTCATTGTTCTGATATAAAGCAACACAGTAAATCTATCTACCTTTCAGTGCGTGCTCTTTTCGTTTGGTAGAATGTTAGACGCGAAATGGGGACGATGTAGAATGAGACATGCTGGATCAAAACAAAAATGTACGACCCCGACGAGACTTGAACTCGCAATCTTCTGATTCGAAGTCAGACGCCTTATCCGTTAGGCCACGAGGCCAGTCAATATGATTTACACAAAGCAGATCCAAATTCATTTTTTAAGAACAAACTTATTAAGAAAATTAGGTCTATTGTGAATAAATACAATCAAAGCATTTTTAAAGCATGCTTAGCTTTGCACTTAAAATTGGCGTCATATAATTTCGAAGAGAAACGCATATAATCGTATGAAGTTGTTGATTAAAAAAAGAGC